TCAAAATCAAAATGTGTCTGCAATTATTGGAAGTCAATATCATAGAATAAGCAATTTGCACAGTGCTTTGCAAAAGTATTCAAATTCGTCCTGTGGGGTTCAATTTTGTAAAATTACAGAAATGTATATTTTTGTGAAATTACAAACTTAATATGGCTGTACATTCAAAACCTGAATGCTCAATCTAAAGGTATAGTTAATATCAGCCAAAACTAAAGAGAAATAACATCTTGGTTAAATCCCTGCCAACTTTGCACACCATCTTAGTGCAAGCGTTGCCCACTCTTCTGGTAGATTAGTTCAAGCTTCTCTCTCAAGGATCTCTTATGGATAGCTATTTTCAAGTTTTCCATAGAGTCTCAGTAGTATTCAAGTCAAGACATTGAAATACTCAGGGACATGTATTTTCCTATTTTTAAGACACTGCAGTGTACCTTTGGCCTTGCTTTAAGCTTTGGGTCATTCTCCTACTTAATAATAATTTGCATCCAAGTTTTAGGTCTTTAGCAGACCAAAACAGGTTTTCCTCCAAGATTAGTCAGCAGTTTGCTCCATCCATTTTTCCCTTGGGATCCTTCTCAATCCCTGCTAATGACAAGCAGGTCTACATCTGACAGAGATGAACTATGCTGGGTTTGAGTTAGATGTAATGCTTTTATTTAGATTAGAATGTTCCAACTTTGTTTTGTATGAACACAAAATCTTTTGCCACATGCCTGCAATATAATTTACTGTAGGTACTTTGCTGAAAATCCCATGCAAGATATGAGTTTTACAGTTCCATACAAGCCTTCATTGTGGGGTGACTGGGATATTGTTGACATTTTCTCCCATTTCAGACATTTGAACTCTGGAATACTTTTTCTCCTGTTCTGTTCCTTTACACAGTTTAATCCCTGAGTTGTTCTGAGCTTAAGCTCCTTGATCTTCATGGTTGAATCTTGGCTTGGAATTCACTACCTGACTGACGGACTTTTAAGAGGGAGGTGTACGTATTTGGAAATAATTGCTATTTCAAATAGTCATGACTTTAAAGAAAGCTTTAAGGCAACAAAATGTAAAACTTTTGGAATGGTCTGAACCTTTTTGCAAAGCACTGTCAATTTCTTTAAATTGTTTTGGTTTTAACTCAGATAACCCAATGGCTTTTGAATAATGTTTCACACATGTTTTGTACGTGAATGTATTAATATTATTAAATTAATATCGATATTTCTGTGAAAGTACCTGCTCAAAACAATAAGTGCATGTTTAAAAAAGTCAAAATTTTAGATCAACAAAACTAATATGTGCAAAAATTGATCAATTTAACAAAGTCATACAGTTATATGTTAAAATATTAATCGTATATATAGTATTGTGGCATTCATAATGATCCTAAAAGTGACAGCATAAATTTAGTAATATGTTCAAGGATGCACAACACTTGAAATGAACAGAAAGAAGACTAGTTCAACTTTCTGTTCATTCTAACATTGCACATATTCCTACAGCATACTTTAATAAAAGATTTTGCAGAAAAGTATCAACTACCCCAGTTCAATAATAATGAAGAGTCATCGTGTAGCTGACCATTTACAAATGTTTGTATATATATATTGAAAACACTATTACAGTGGCTCCAGCACATCCTGTAATTGTTGGCTGCAGCTTTCTGCTTTTTGTGTACTTAGTCAAGAACAAAAGCTGCAGCATTCTCCAGGTGTATTTGGTTAAAAAGCAAGGTAATTGCATTACTTCCTCTGACAAAATAAGATAAGAAAAAGCAATTCAGCAATTCTCAATATCATTTATTTTTAGAATATAGCTACAGTACCACCAGTGATTTAAAATTTTACATGAAAATATGAACACATCAAAAATCTTTCTTGAGTACCGCAGAATTTTATTACTTGATAGGCAGAGCAGAAGAAAAGAGTTCATGATCAGAGTGGCAAAGAAAATGAATTCTGTGTGGAAAGTGTGAATCACTTTCAGGTTAATATGAAATAGTTAAAACTGGATAACACACTGTAATCTCCGGGCACATAAAAGACAAACAAAAAAAGCTTATGTCCAAAGTGCATTTTGAAATGAGTTACAGTAATTACAGGAATTACTGTAGGATAGCTTGTCTTTGCCTTTTATGATTCAGGTTCTACAGTACTACTGTATAGCAGAAGTCTCAATACTTTGCCAAATAGGCCAGACAGCCCACATGTTCTGATGTCGGGGGTTTAGGTTTATACCTATGCTTGCAATTACTTGATCGGGCCAACTACTGACTGACTTACAGTAGTTCACATTAACATTATAATAAGCCATTGAAAGAAGACACATAAAACTGGATGGAATGAGGCTCCCCAGAACTACCTGCTGTTGAGCAACTGCTCATCACAGCTCTGTGCTAAGGAGGTATAGAAAATAAGAAATCGAAAAAAGCACAAACCCTAAGAGGCTCATTAATTTATGGTACATTATGACATGAAAATAAATGTAAATTCAACTTTATTAGCATCTGATGAAACTGACAAAATGGAATATAGCACCCTCTTTTTAAAGTTTAAAGGACATTAGTCAATTACACAAAGTTTGAATATTTTGCTAGGGCTTCTTACAGATGAAAGAAATGTACATATTATGGGTGTGTTTTGTCACTGTAAAACACTGCTTTTCAATAAAGTAGTAATTATTTGTCTGTTATCGGGTCTGTGCAATTCTATGAAATACAGTCTTCACAGCTACAAAGCCAGCAATAACAACAAACCACAGTGAACACTAGCTTAAGATTGTGCACTAACCAACTAACACATTTCTTTCTTAGACTGAGACAAGACAAAGACAAAGCAACAATAATGTGAAAAAGCCATACTCGTGGCTCGTGATGTGACTATTATTTTATAAAGTCTGGACTTAAAGCCACTGTAACAACAGTTACTGTTGATATTTCTTTGTGTAATGCACATATACATGAGGATCCTCACTCAATTCCTGCAAAGGATATAACCCAGTAATCCAGTTCCTGAGCCTCCATTAAACAGATGCTGTACCATTTAATAGGTAGAGGGTAGCAGAACAAAGTATTAGTTCAACATTGAACATTGCATTAGTGCTGTTTGTGATTCTCCAATAATGAAGTGTTCTCACTAGACTAGTAGCACATCTACTTCATTTACATCAAGATACTGTGGAAAATTCACACAGTGTCAATATCAGGACATTTTAAAGACACACTTTGTTATATTCTGAGACATTTAGCATGCAGATCAATGTAAATCCAAGGCTTAACTGAGGTCTGTTTTCATTCATATTTGTTCAGTGGAAATCTAACTGACTCCATGGATTGGGGAGGTTGAAGAATGTGGTATTTGATCAATCAGCCATTCACATACTGTAACTACCTGCCTCCGACAGAGACCACATATAGAATGACTGTCCAAAAGAAAAGTTCAGTTTTACTTTTTCTTTTGCTGTGGTGGGGAAGCAAGCTAGCAAGCATTTATTTGTTGTCTTGCACTTACACAACCAAATACTAATGTCCCTTGAATCCAAGAGTGTGATTACTGTGATGTACTTAGTCATATCAAACCAGTTTCATTTGTCTTTTAATCATAGTTCTGTACCCTTTCACACAAAATAATCTTTCCCTGCCTGTTAAAAGATCAATTATTTGAAACAGTAAATTAGCATAACTGCATGTACTAAGTTCTGTGTCCAGAGCAAAAATGTCAGAAAGGATTTGAAGTTTTTTTTTGATTACATGAATAAGACCACTTTTAAAATGTCATGCACAAACAGCAGATGATTCCAACAACCTTTCTCTTCTCCTAATTGCCATTGCCTTGCTTACAACTTAATGTACAGTAGTATAAATTCATTTTTACTGCTTACAGGGACTTTTAGAAAATCTAACCCACAGTATTCATAATACACACATTCTAGTTTAAGAATATACTGTACCACTTTTGAAACCAGTACTTAAAAGCAAACTGTATTCTTACTCCAAATTTTCAGCTAAATTTAGAGAGGCCTTTAACTTACCCAAGAGATACCTGCAGTTTAAAAAAATATATAATTACAGTATCCAAATATGATTCATTGTTTAAACTTAAGTCAAGGAGCATTCAGCTCCTTGTTACAGTGGCTTATACGTCTTCATTAGTATCCTGCAAACCTAGATATATTTCTAGACCACAAAACGTTAATAATAGAGGGTTATTGGTCTGTGGTTATACAACTGTGCAAATACAAAATGCAAAAGGTCTGCTTATTATGGAAGCATAGCAATCTTTAAAACTTTATAATATAATACAAATAGGCAATGCAGAATCTAATTTATATATTAATTTTTCACCTTGGAAATAACGTTTCATTCATAGAAACGGTGTTTTGGACAAAGGAGTAAGAGGAGTAAGAGGCATTTTGAAAATGATTCAGATTTGTTATATTGTCCATAATAGTCTTTTATTCAAATACATTATGATTATCGGTGGGATAGTCAGTGCCATTTGTGCTCATCCCAATGAATTGCAGCAACTACTTTTTGTAATCAACATTTCTACATCACTGCGCAGGTCGGTGGTACCTTTACGCACTGGATGAAGGCTGTTTTTAGAATCTTTAGTTTTCTGTTCGCACAAACAAAACACGTCAAGGGTTCTGTAAAGGTCACTCTTGCTGACTTGTATTAACGATTCTAACTAAATTTGTTCTGTAACAAAAGCTGCGCTTTGATAATAAAAGCTTCTAAAATCAATGTCCCTGCAGACCAAAACAATAGGCAAACAGAGACAGCTGGCGCATCATCCCTGCTGCGGACTAAATGGAAATTATCCAGAAAAAGACCAGCATTGTGTTAATCGTTGTTATTATTATTTGACCACAATAATCAGAAGACGTATGTGATATCGTAAAACGTAAAAATAAAATAAAATCCTGAGAAAAATCAAGCAAATAGTTTTTTGATAAGCTAGACCAACAATGGCGTACTATATTAATAGACAATATCATTGAATACTTACTCTTGATTGAACTGATAACGTTATTGCCATCTTTTATTACGTCCTTAAGAAATTTGCTGGTTCTTTCGAGTTCCGCCTCGTAACATTTTAACCTCTCCCTAAAATCCGGACTGTCCAAGTAGCAGTCACTGAACTCCAAGGGAGGATGCCCCATTGTTGCAGTTAATGAAAAAATTGTTTTATTATTAATCAAAATCCAACCCCGCCAACTCAGCCTGCAGTTGCAAGTAAAAGTTTTTTTTTTCTCTCAAAATAATAACAATGTTCTCCAGATGGCTTCCCAGATTTAAAGAGTTGAAAAAACTGGAGTCGGGTGTGCTCCCGACCGGTTTGCAGTTCTTCTGCGAATGTATCACATACTATCTCTCCCACCAAAGGTCGATGCAAGCAATGTGCGTCTGTACATTCTTCTAGCTTCCCAAGTGCATCCAGTCATTTTCCCAGTTTTGTAACAGATCTACTCCCCTTCTCTGCCGTGAACACATGTCAGATATGGTTTACTAAATGTGGCTAAGCAGCAACGCTTAGACCAATATAGTTCTCATAGGGTAGGCTTGTATGATGTTAAGATTCCACTTTTCGGATTAAACGCCTTCTGAGAGAATTCCCGTGTTTCATGAGGATTTCCTTGTTCTGGGATTTGGTACAGTAAATGAAGAAAATACGATCTAGGCAGGGCAGAGCAACGATCCTCCCCATCTCACATCCGCAGCCCTGCCTTAAAGCGATAGCAACGACTTTTCCTAGAAAGGAAAGCTTTCCTAAACGGGGGAGTCTCTTATCCTGGCCGAGCTGGAGGACTCCCGAAGACAACCCTCTCTAAGGCCCGGACATGGAATTGTGCCAGTTCCATATTGTAACGCTTACGGCCGACAAGCACTGTGTAAGAGCCGGCGTACCAGAGCGGGTGACGTCACCGCCCTTCCCTGTGATAGCAGGACCACAGCTACTGGGCTGTGGAGAGATCTCTCTTTGGCTCACGGGGCTAGGTCGCTGCAGAGAGACGCGGAAGTCCCGGGTTCGAGCCCCGGACGGTGCAGGGGCCGACCTAATGCGGCAAGGGCGCCCGCCTGAGCCCCCGTTGCGTTACAATATTAAAACCGTGGTGCTTAAACTATACACTTTTGGAAGTTTTTTTTTAAATGCTGATCACACTTTTTAGAATGTTAATTTTAAAAAAATGCAAGACTTGTGGTGTATAGTATTCTTTGGACAACAAACAGATGACTTGTCCCATTACAAATGACTTTCCCATTAGCAAAATATAACGGCTATACCGACTGGCTTACTGCATCACGATTGATACTGTATTGATTCTTTCTTGATTATCAGGAAATAATTATGCCATGACCAATTTACAATAGTAGAATAAAGTACCTCCGTGCTTTATTTTAGTGTTCTGCCAATGAGTTTAGTAAAGATAATTCCACATAAATACAGTAACCATCTTAAGTTGCAATGAAGACTATAATGAGGGTTAGCTGTCAGGGGATGTTCTGTACAGATTTAAATACTAGTGCTCTTCATAAGACAAGTATCTTACTGCTGAAGCTGAATTATGTTTAATTAATTTCATCAATGCATGGTTTTTACAAACTCGTATTTAAGATTTTATCAAAATCATTTTTAAATGAATTTAACGTTTTATATGTTTATCAATAATAACATCTGAGCAAATAAGTTACACAAGCATTGATCATTTGAGATGCTTAAAGACCTAGAAAGTTAAAATATTATATTTACGTTTTTTTTTCAAAAACCTGAAAAGGAAGAGGGTTTCTAGAAGATTTTCTTTAGAGAAAAACGAATATAAACTAAATCATAAGTCTTTGAATTATATGTCTTACTTGCATGCCATAGCGCATCGGTAAGGTAAGTGTTGACATCTTGAATATTTAAATCCGAGCATTGTTCCTAAGAAACGTGGTTTATTTTGGTAAAAACACGCCATCCCGTGGTTGTATATGCACATTGCGCCACTTGATCTTTTTCACGTGACGTTTTTTAAAGAAGGCGCACAAAGTGTCGCTTCTGATGACGCAACATGTTTGTCTCCACGTAGCTTACATGAGCAAAAATGGCGGAAGTGAATGAATCTAACAAACCTCTGGTAAGAAACGAAGCATTTTTACATCATGATCTAACAAATTTATACATGAAAGGTGGGCACCACTGTTTTCTAACAGTGTCTGAAAGTGTAAGCGCCATGGACTGTAACATTAGGCTTTACGGTTTGTTTTCAGAGACAGGCCTTTATAGAATTGTTTTTAGTTCGGTTGTTATGAAGGCTCTTTTTCCCATATATTTTATTCTGTGCAGACTTTCTATTTAACCAAATAATAATAATTAAGATATTTTAATTGTTTTAATTAATCTTCTAGAGACTGGGTTCAGAGTAATATATTCAAATGTACCAAATGCAAGTATTTGTTAGTACACCTGTTGGGAATATTTGCAATTCTCTTTGGAAGAAAAGCGTTGCGCAGTTAAAGATCTATAAGTAATGATCAGTTAAATACATATATTGAACCGGTCTAATAAAAATTGGGGAATATTGTAGGTTTGCCTTTCGAAATGGGGGCAAAATGCAATAAGTCTATATTGCCTACGAAAATAGATTGAAAAGTTTTAAAGCATGTCTTCTTGGGAAAGGAGGGCGTTTTTCTGCGTATGGCAGGGGGTGTCATCGTCACTCCAAGATACAGTATTCTATTTAAACACTTATACATTTTTTTCTTTTCATATGTGAATTGCTTCCTTTCTCCTAATTGGGCTAGAATATCCTTAAAAATGCAATCTCTCTGAAGTATATGGATGGAATCTTTCCTAAATATATTTAAGGAATAAAGATCCCCAAATGATTTATTTTTTTATCTGTTCTTATGTATTACATGTGACATGTTATTACCAATCTGACACTTCTAAAAAGATCCCTTGATGACACAACAGCCGCGATTTAACTATGAAAAGTAGACAATATTTTGTCAACTTTTGTTGTTTTTTGTGTTCCAAGACTAAAAATCTCCCTGGGTGTAAAAGTTTACTAGCAGTGCTGTACTGGCTTTTTATTATCCTATCCAAACAGCTTTTAGAAGTTTTCAGTTTAAAGTTTCCCCAAATTGTTATGATAAACTAATGAAATTAAAACTATCTACTTGTTATTGTTGTTGTGCTGGTTGTCACCCAGAACTGAAATGTGGTTGATATGACATAGAATGATCCTACTGATGGACCTCTATGGGCACATGTTGCAGTTTGCAGGGCTTTCAGATGTATCGATCTCAGAAGACATTCCTGTGGAGGGAGAGATCACAGTTCCAGTTGGCTCCCCAATACAAGATGATGAGTACTCCACACTTGATGAGCCTGTTAAAGAAACCATTGTAAGTTATTGTATCATAATAAAAGGCGTGCACACAGCTCATTAACTCTTCAAAATTCTTTAATTTTGTGTATCCTGTTATGACCATTGGTATCCCCAAGCCTGTGAAGACAACAGTATGTGCTTAGGGTCTAAATGCTGGAGCAGCACTGGTGGTTGAGTAATATGAGAGTAGCAGTCAATGTTGTAGTAAGAGCATGTAAAATCTGTCAATCTGCAACTGTTATTTTTTCTATCGTATTTCTTCTGCTTTCTGGTGCTTCTTATGGCGTGCTTTCAGGTTATAATGTCTTCATCAAGACTTATGGTTTTCAGTATAGAAAGGGTAGCTCTTTTTATCACACTCTTGTATTCCACTTTCACATGTCCTTGAAGGAAAGTTATTGATTTTCCAGGGACCCCTTCTCAGTATGTAGCATTCCATATATGACATCCTTAGGGATCTGACCATCTGGCAGGCATCTGCCATGGCCCAGCCATCAAATTTGGCTTTGATTTAGTTTAGCTTCCCAAGTAATTTTACCTAAATAGAATCCCGCTGTTTGCAGCTTTTCTTATTTTCTTGTATAAAATTAGAACATCTCTCTCCTTAGTTGTAATTTTACAGTAGTTAAGTTTATTGAAACTATAACAGTAGTTTTTATCATCACAGTATTATTAATACTACTGATAGCATGTATGTCTGCATACATGGAAACAGTAAATGCTCAGTTTAACACACTAATAGAAGTGATTGGGTGTCTCTTATTGCCAAATGTTCATTAAATCAGGAGTGACATTTTTCAGCCCCAAAACACTATTATATGAGAAATATATTTTTGGATCTTTTGACTTACTGTTTTAAAAATAACGATCAGCACAGGCAGTTAGAATTGATCATTGACCGTTTTTATCATGAATGTGCAAGCTATCTTTATTTTATGTAATAAATATACTGTATAAGATTTGCTAAAGCATACCAAACAAGCAATTTTGTGCATCACATCTGAAATCCGTTAAAGCGAAGTCTGTTAAATGGTACTGTAATATAATTGAGCAAGTGGTTCAAATACTTACATAGTGTAATGCATGTTCTTCCAGTAAAATACAGTTTGTTTGCATTACAGTGGTAGTTGTGCAAACAGTTGTTGGAGTAGCCTATCTCCTGTAGCATATGAATGCATGAGCAGTGCTGCAGTTAATTGCAATATTTTTATATGGATTGTTTCCAAGTCATGTCTAGTGTAGACCCTTTTCACATATCTTTGTCCAGTATGGATGAAGCTTAATCCATCAGATATACTAATTGCTGGCAAATCAGTTGCACTGCTTTAAAATGTCAGTTTGCAATTATTTTGAAACCTACCTATTTATTTGTGGGAACAGCTCTTGTGGATTGTACAAATTGAAGAAATGCAATTCCTGACATAATACGTATGAATTGTATGTGTTTAATCAATTGCATTCACTGTATAAAATATTGAAGAACCTCTATCAAATATTATGTTGGTCACCTGAAAGACCATGAACAGCCTGAACACAATGTGATATGTACTCCACCCTGTTTTGGAATATTTGCTGTCTGGTCTTAGTTGTCTTGTATGATTTTATCTGTGATGAGAGATGTTTCCTGGCCAGGGAAGGTAACAGAAATTTGTTGAGCTTCTGAAGGCAGTTATCCATTACTTGCCTCTGAAAACATGCTTTAGATTTAATGTAATATTATGCTTAGTGACTGTTAAGTTAGTCTTTGTTAAAGTAAAATATTTCTTTATTTGTACAGATGAGAGATTTGAAGGCAGTTGGGAAGAAGTTTGTTCATGTGTTGTATCCTAAAAAAAGCTCTGCATTACTTAGAGACTGTAAGTATAATTTTTTGAGTGAATTGTCTAATTCATGTGCCTGTGAGTATTAAGACAAACACAATTTGTATTTGTCCCAAAATCAAAAACGGTTCATTGAATTTAAAGATAAAGATGAACAATTTATGATTTATAATTTGCTGATGGTTTTTACTGTCACAAATATGAGAGTTGTTGGAACTTTCGTCTTTGGTTTTTAACTGGCCTGTAGTATATTTCCACCATAATTACATTAAATGAAGGATGTATTAAATCATAAAGCATAAAGGACATATTCTTAGCCTTGTGTAGCTCCATTCCTCATTTCAAAATCTTTAGCATATGTGATGTGAATATTAAAAAGATAGATAAAAAATTATTAAGCACTAATACATACTGAAACAGGACTACAGGAAAAGTCATTCAGTAAGTATCTGTTCACTATCTTCCTGGTACCCAGGCAGATTCTGGAGTTTTGAGCACAGGCATCATTTTTATAGTGCTTTCATCTGGAACGTCTGTGTGTGGCCAGAACCTCTGTAACAGCTTGATTTATGTGGTGTTTTATGGCTCCATATGTATTAGTACTGATAAGTAGAATATGCCTGACTAGCATTTTGAATCAGTTTTTTAAAACATGTAGAATTATATTTCATTGCAAATAAATATCTTAACATTCAGCATGTAATGAAATTTGCATACATTTTCCCCTTTTGCTTTCAGGGGATTTATGGGGTCCTTTGCTGCTGTGCGTCACACTTGCTCTGTAAGTCAATAACAGTTTATTATTGTCTTATTATTATTTTTATATTAAACAATTCCTATTTTTTTCCAAGCAGACAATGAATACTGTTTTAAAAGTTCTGAACTGATAAGTTAGTCATTTTCACCTGGATCATAAGTAAGAATCCAGGCCTGATTTCTCAATTTGTTTTTACACCAAATGTAAAATTTAGATATGGGTCAGGATAATTTTAATGTAATAGTGTGTCACTATTATTACTTTTTCAGTAAGAACTAAAAGGGTTAACCTTCTGTGTTGTGCCATTTCATTGGCAAAGAGCACAATATAGAAACTGTAAAATATAATTTCACCTTTGTGTGTACAGTATGTTGCAGGGAGGGTCTGCAGACAGTAAAGATGATGGAGGGCCCCAGTTTGCAGAAGTGTTTGTCATCATCTGGTTTGGATCTGTTATTATTACACTAAATTCTAAGCTACTAGGAGGTACCATGTAAGTACCAAGTGTTGTAATTCACATTCAGTATTTACACATTCCATCTCTCTATGTGTGCATGAAAAGCAGGACATTTAATAAGAGTAAGTACAGTGCCAAGAAAATGTCGGTGAACCCCATAAAAAACTTACGGGGAAATTTCATTATTTCATTATTTTACCACGATAGCCTTCTTCATTAGCTAAATTAAGAGAATACAGTAATTAAAATCAGGTGTTTCAATAATTAGGTAAACCTTAAAGTCTGAGTTTGGAAAGCTCCACCCCATATAAAGATCTGCAATGTTATGAGTTTAGCCTTCATCAAACAAGTGTGTGGAAACAAGTCATGCCATGAGCTGAGAAAATCTTTGGCAGTCCTCAGAGCCTGTTGATGGGGTTTTGTAAGGAGGAATTGGCCAAAATTCCTCTGAACAGATGAGAGACTAATCAATCGTTAGAGTTTAGTTGCATACATTGCTGCTCAAGGAGACGCCACAAGTTACTGAATCTAAGGTTCACCTACATTTTCACACATGGATATTGAACATTTCATCATTTGAGAATAAGTGTTGAAAGAGTTTCATGTTTTGTCATTTGTTTCATCAGGTAAACTATTAGTTTTATAATTAGTATCTCAGCACGGTAAATGAATGCCCATAACAGCTGACCTGCATCTGTACATTTTTTCTTTCTTTTCCTCCATAGTTCCTTCTTCCAGAGTTTGTGTGTGCTTGGGTATTGTATTATGCCTCTGACGGTTGCCATGATTGTCTGCAGGCTGGTGTTACTTGGGAATTCTGGCAACATTGGTTTTATAGTTCGGTTCATAGTAGTCTTTGCTTCATTTGGCTGGTCAACATTTGGTAAGTAGGTTATTTGATTATTTTCAGGGATAAAAATGTATTGTTCTATCATTATTTTAGACTCAAAAAGCATGCATTTCATAAGATACAGTAGTGTTAGTGCTGAATATTTGTAATATTCAAAGTCTTCCCAGCAGATGGTGCTGTACTCAACAGAATCATTCATAACACATTCCATTGGGTTAGTTGCAGAACCTTAATGCCTTATTTCTTTTAAAATCAAAGAGAAAGATAGAAGTATCAAGATGTACATTTATGAAGTATTTGTATGCACTAAAATGCTTTGTAGACATTATCAGTAAGAAACCCAATACGTTGAGAAACTAATGCTTAGTGGGTTTGTTTTTCAGCATCTACAGCCTTCCTGGCTGACAGCCAGCCTCCAAATCGCAAAGCTCTTGTGGTGTACCCTGTGTTTCTGTTTTACTTTGTCATCAGCTGGATGATTCTCACTTTTTCACCGTCGTAGCAGTGGACCAAATATCACAGGACCCTGAATTTTTCCTGCAAGAGTAGCAGATCTTTTTTTCTCATGTATTTGGGAATTAAAGAGGAGTATATATCAAGCATCCTCCTTATTCCCCTCTCATGAAAGCTGGATGCTAGATACAAACTGACCTGCATGTGCCGAGTATCTAATGGACAAAGAGGTGGTTGTGGAATAAGTGTTATAATACATATATTGTATTACAATACTCTTCTTAACTTCATTTCATTTTAAAAAAAAACATTTTACTGCGTTGCAGTTACACTCATAGGTGGGAATCGTGCAGCTTTGCAAATGCAAATAGTATCATTATTATGCAAGAGTCCCATCTCATGTGGATAATCATGAGAAGAAATGGCTTTCTAAGCAAAACAGAATGGGAGCAAACACGGTAGTGGTACCTGTAAGAGTTGCTATGCAGTTGTTTAATCACAAATGTCCCTGATTTTGCATTTTTACACAAATAAAATAAATAATATATTGATACATTATATGTATAAATCTGGTTAAAGAGCATTCCTAAAAATGTTCAAGGCAACAGTACTTTCTTGGTTAATGTTTTCTTCACTGAATTTCAAATACCTTCCCTCCATACTGTGTGTAAAGGTTTGGTGCCTAGAATAGTCCCTAAGCCTCTTCTATGCATTTCCTGGTCTTTAAGTACAAATGAGCCATGCCTTGAGTGATGTCACTGTGCATTTAATCCAATTGCAAAGACTGTATAGGATACATCTGTGTAAACACTGCAGCAAATGTTTAATTTGGAAGTAATTGAAAAGTATATTAAACGAGATGAATTGCAGAGGTTTGTATGATGGTTAACAAGGTGATTTAATGACTTTTGGAATATTGTGATTTTTGTTTCCTTAAGACATAAAGTTGAAGCATATGTACAGATAGCAGATATTTAAAGAAATGTGTGTCCAATTATTTTATTTTTAACTTTCAATTTAAGTTCTTTGGGACACTAGAAAATTATATACGGGGTTAGTGTGGAAAGACTTATTTTTAAAATGATAAAAGACATGTTTTATTTATTTCCATTTCTTCTGAATTGAACCTTAGGCCTTCTTTAATTTTTATGGTCTAAATTTAATTTTGTACTATGTCAGTAGACACTTTGAACCTGCTTACCATGGAAATCTTATTCTTTACATTTGAATGTGTAGTATGAAACTAAACACTCCTTTTCTGAAATAATTTTCTTTTTATGGCAGTAGTTTTTAGTTTTTTGATTAATTTATTGTTGCGAACACTGAATAGGTTAAATTTAATAAGATACAGTAAAATGGCTATAAAGAGGTTTTGTAATTTTTTATTTCAATTCCATTTCTCTTTCTTTTCTTGGCTGATATTGCATCCTATCATAAAAATACAATTTCAATTCAGATCTCTCCAGTGACAAAAATGTTTTTGTTTAATTATGAAGAATTATTCTGTTTAATTGATTAATTTAAAATGTTTCCTGGTAAATAGTGTGAAAATGTAAAACAATTGTCATATTCTTAATTTATGCCTGTAACACTACATAGACCTAAGTAATTTCATTTTGAAAATGCTTCCACTGAAAGTTTTACCTGCCACTTCACAACATAATAAACATTTGAATTTAATTGACTGTATTTGCTATTGATAAACACTATTCCACAAACCAATTCAAAATTGTTCATATAATAGAATACTATTTATTTATAAGTGTCTTTAAACTTTTACAAGGTGTTGTACAGTTAAAAATGCATACTAATTTGATATAAACAAAGGTATTTGATAGGATTTGTATGTGATTGCAGACCTTGAGAATATCGTTATATTATTTAACCTTCTAAACCTTCTTCTGGGACTTTAAATATTTTTAATAATGTCATCCTTACAACTGGGGTGTACATCTGATTTTGAGGTATGGAGACACTATTTCAGCAATGGAGATATTTCTTATAGTCTTATAGCTTGCAGGTGGTGTGAATTGTTGTGCAGTGACTTAAAGTAGTGTAAATCCACCTCACATTGCAGAAGAAAACACGATACAGTTAAAATGTTATTAATTGTTAAACCATTTTTGCCTTGTTTTTTTTTCTAAAAGCATAATTGTGAAAGACAGTCCTGTCAGTTCAGTTAGTCAAAGATTTTATTGGCATTTTTTATAGCTTTGCAAACTTGTTTACTTATTATTGACATCATTTTCTGCCTAACACATGCAATGATTTTTTTCTCCACTTTTGAAATTGGTTGGGTTCAGACCTAAATACATACAAAGCAGGTAAACTGGGACAGATAAGACATTTCATTAGTGGTCCAAAACTTGTGTTCTGTGCCAGCTTATACCCGCGTGTTTGAATACCTTTTCAATTTTGTTTTCATGGAAAGAGCTGCACAAGTTTAATTGAAATTTGCAGATTTCACCAACAACAAAAGCTACATCACATTAGTACCTAAAACGTTGCAACAGTTTTCGGAATTTTCACAGCCATATCAGTTTATCAGCTGCTTGGCAAACACAGCTAGCAATGGAACTGCTCCTGTTTCAAAACTCTTTTGCCAATTATCTTCCAACTTGTTATATATAATTCTAGTTTCTTAACACAGAAGGTAAATTAGTCCTTTTAAGCTTCAAAATCAAATTTCTCTCTAGCTAACTCCCCTTGATCTCTCTTGATAACACCACTTTATTACTTTATACTAAAATAATACATAAAAATGCTTTCTTTACAGTATATCAAATTGTGAAGCTTAATGGTTAACCAAGGTATGTATACTGTATATGAGATTGTAACATCCTTTGGTAAATAATGTATTGTGAAATAATTCTGTTTCCTCTCAGCCAATAAGAATCAGCCACATTTAAGAAGCAGGATAAAGAAACTAATGCATTTCAGTAGAAAAATCCTATCCAGGAAATTAAATTTTCCACAGCTGCCTGTTTAGGAATGTGATACTTCTCCCAAACAAGTTTAAACTTCATTAAGGAGGGAAAAGTATAGCTTACAGATACATGGAACTTTCTTAATTACCCTGAAGGTATTTTTATATTACGAAAAACGGCTGTGACTCTTTAAGAAACATCCCTGTAGGGCTCAAGATGCTGTTTTCCTTTCCACAAGCTATTTACATTACCCACCAAAGCATGCTTAAACACGCTTATGAAATCCTGCATCATAAAATTGCATATTTTAACTTATAATCTAAAATGGTAGGTTAAAATGTTATTTGTTTTGAGGCCTCAATAATAACAAGTCCCAGAAAATGGTTCCTTAAGGTGCATGCCAAGACTTCAAAATCCATAAATGCTTTGACATTTCTACTATAACCTGTCCTTCTTGTTTAACTCTTGCCATCGTCACTCTCTCTTTAAATAAGTTTCCAACTTTATGCTGAATATTCTGTAGTGTCCTGATGTGAAATTGATTTCGGGCGATTGTGCTGTAATGTGATAAAGATACAGTATGTATTACTTTTGAACAAGTCACAGAAGCAGATATTTTTATAATAAACACACAGTAGTACAAAATTCAGAATCGTCTTTAAGTTTTCTCACCCCTATGACTAAACCTTTGCAACAATGTAACTGTGATTAAATAAATTATTCTACAAGTGGTATGCATATTGATGTTTTAGTTTGAATATATGAATCGATGCTACAGTAGCTCAGATAAAAGCTGCCACAGCACTGTTTAAAAGAGTAGTGGTGTTAACTGTGGTTCCCTTTCTAAATTTCACTCTGGACTAGCAAAATCTGGAATAAAGTTCCCCCTCGTTTAGATTGCTGAAGCAATTTCTCACTTCTCCGCCTTTACTGCTGTGTTGTAGGGTACAGGATTGCTGCAATCCAGGTGGGTGCTGCACTTCACAGTTGGGTGAAAAGGGGTCTCCTCCTACAGTATATGTAAAGTGCTATACAGTGCCTTTCAAAAGTGTCCACTCCATTTAAGTGATGTACAGTACCTATTTGTTAAATTACAAATTATTTATACACATTGTTTTGAACATTTTATATTTTTTATCAGAAATATAATGCTCAAACTGCATGCCTTTATGGGTGAAAATGTTGCTTTTCCAATTGAGGGTCATGGTGGCCCAGAGCCTCTTCCAGGAGGCACTGGGTGCAAGACAGGAAACATCCTGGATGGGCTGCCAGTCCATTGCAGGGTACACAAACCAGGGCCTATTATACAGAAGACAGATAACCTACCAGCATGCCTTTAGACTGTGGGAGGAAGCCCAAATGAACACGGATAACGTACAAACTCTACTCCCCAGGAATTGAACCCAAGGCCTCAGAGTGGCAAAGGAAGCTATGCTAACCACTTGTGCCACTCAAGCCAGGTTCCTGTTTGATAATTGATATTATGCACATATCAAATAAGACCAATAAGAAAAGTAAAGAAAATTGTTTTCTTTTCATTTTTTTAAAAGACAATTAGGAAACAGAATAGAGAGGATGCGTGCATCTTCATTCAAGCTGTCGGTGATGTGTATTGTAGAATACCCTTCAGGTAATTGCATAAAATAAGGTCTTCTTAGAATCATTAGACACTTTAGTATTATTGTTAATTGCCTCTTTCATTCGTTGTTTTGGGTGAAATCATCACTTCCAGAAATAGAGGAAATGGGGCCTTTTATATTTCTAAATTGTTCTTTTTTTTCCAATTTCCTTTTTTTTAAATAAAAGCCATTTAAAGTATGCAATTAGAATGCAATTTGCGAAGAAGCACAAAGCCATTAAACCTTGTACGTTGTTAATAGACCAAAGAACAAAGACAGTCATAGGACTGAATTCCTCCTTTTCTATCACACAACTTTGAGACTCTGCTAATTAAATGTTAGACTCTTCTCAATAGATTTGTGTCTTGCCTCCTCGATGCTACAAACAGTACTTGATTCAGAAAAATGTATTTAAAAGCACACTTAGAGGAGAAATGTGTCCTGAGTTGCAAGTGGGTACATGCTGTAGTGTATGAGTTGTACAACAATATTTCAAGTGTTTTATCTGCTTAGATCCTTACATGTCACTGTACCATTATTATGTGTGGATGGATAATGATGAAATACTGCACTTACACTGTACTCCTTTATATCAACACGATACTTACTGATTTCTTTGGTTCTGTCTGTGTTCTTTAAATTAAATTGGATGCTCCTTGCCATTATTTGTAATTTATTTAGACCTAAATAATTATATGATTACTGTATGATATTTGTTTAGACAATTATATAGGCAAAATGGCAGGTATATAGGGCTTTTATCTTTATGAAGATAAAAGGTATATAGGTACAGTATATGGTTTAATAACCATTATTCTTTACTTATATTTGTGGAAGGAATTGTGTTGCTTAATGTTTACTTTGACAATAGTGTTGTAATGTAGAAAAAAAAGTTAGGAATCCCACTTCTTAAAGTTAATAAAGTATGTAAATATGTAAATATTTTAGAGACAAAACGAATAAGTTTCTTAGAAGAATTATTAGTTTAAATTGTAAACCTCCCTAAAGCAAATGTTAGCATAAAAAATCATCAGTGTTGTTAAATGCCAGCAGCCATGTCACCCTGCAACTTACAATTGGCAGCCCACTGAAGCTCAGCAGGTGTGAGCCTGGTCAGTACCTGGATGTGAGACCTCCTGGGAAAAACTAAGGTTGCTGCTGGAAGAGCTGTTAGTGGGACCAGCAGGGGGCACTCACGTGGGGGGGTTTCGGCGTGGCTCCTGACTCTCTGTGGTCATTAAAAATCCCAGGGTGTTTCTCGAAAAGAGTAGGGGTGTAACCCTGGCATCCTGGCCAAAAGTTTTCATTGGCCCTTATCAATCA